CCCCAAAACCCCAAAACCCCAAAACCCCGAGCTATGATTGGCTCATTGAAATTACTTATTCCAATTTATCCAATAGCAAATCTAGCTTTGCGTTCAGTTTTGAGTTTTCCTTCGAATGTATCCCTATATGGGCAGATGAAGTCGGGGATTTAAGGGAGATAATTGGATTCGAGCTTGGGGATTGGAAGGAAAGAGAGAGGGGTTTAGGATACTTAGATTGAGATATTAGTGTAATTTATTATGCCTTTCAAGTTTCTTTGCCAAGGAATCAACCTTGTGCCCCAGAGCATCCATTTTTTCCTCTAGGGCTTCTAGTTTATGGTTACTGCTTTGATTGACCACTGGGTCTTGCTCAGGGTTTGCACCAGTTCCTTCTCTGTGAGTATTGTGTACACTTGGCATCCAGCTGATATCTCCTTTCCTAAGTTGTTCCTTTACATGCTCATCTATTGGGTCTGTAGAGTCTTTGTCATAGGCTACAAGGAGCCCTATGTAGAAGAAATAATCCCAGATGTTGTGGCAAAATGTACAGTGCTCCCAAAATGTTTCTTTGTCCTTATCTTCTTCAGAGTCTTCATTTCTTTTGAAATTTTGAAATTTTATGAATTGTTCAAAATCTTGAGACGATTTGCCACAAATAAAACAATGTGAAGATTGAAATTCAGCTATTGCCTCTCTTTTTGTTCTTCCTTCACCAAATTTGTCAATAATAATTGCAGTAACAATGCCTAGCATCACAATTACGATAGCAAAATAAAATATGAACTGATAAATCATACAAACTACATCAATATTGTATTTTTGTGTTCCATCGTCATACTTTTTGATGACCGCAGATAGATCATTTTCATCCAATAAGCTACCAACCCCACCTTTATACCATTGATCAAAGAATATGGAGATAAAGGTGGAATACGCCATTTTGGTTTCTTCTGTTATTTCAAGAAAATCTTTGACCAAAATCATATACCCAAACGATGAGAGGCAAAGAAAAATCACAATGCCAAACAAGGTAATTGGCCACACCCTTTGCGTAGGAATGCTAATATCGCTTATAGCGTCGAGAACTGAGGGGATAAAAACAATAGAGCTAACGAGAGCGAATAAAAACAAAGGAGGGTAGAAATTTCCTAAAACTAGTGGATAAAATGCATAAGTAATAGACCATATATTTCTTGAATTAGAATATCTAGTTTGCCTAGCAGTTAACTTCTTTTGGTTTTTCATATATAGCTTAGTCAATGACCAACAATTTTTCATATTTCCATTGCTTGGTTTTAATACGATCAAAGTTTGACACGCTATTTGGCAAAATAACATGATGATAACAATTATTGAAGTTCATAGCATAATAGTCTTGCTGTCTGAATCGGATATCCCATTCATTTTCATAGTGTATTCTACTTTATTATTGTTATCTAGTTGAGATTCCAGTGTAAAAATAACAAATATATTCATAATGAAAATTATTAACATTATTGCATCAGTAAACCAGCTATATTTCTTTGTTACGTCTCTTGGAATAAAAACACGAGACTGTAACATGTTTTGATACCTTAATTCTTTAATCTTATGCTGAGAATAGTCTATAAAAGATTCTTTCGCTGTTATCTCATTACTAAGATTAGCAGTAGACCAGAATTGATTCTTCTCCCATTGCATTAGGGCTTGGAATTCAGGTAAGATTATAAAATATTTCGTCTGGAGAACGCCATCTGGCATGGTGATCTCAATTTTGGAGGTATAAAGATCGAAGAAAGTAGTTGCTCTATTTTGTAGTTCAGTCATGTTCATGGTTTTATTTGTACTGGGATGAAGGAATTTTAGAAAGTTCGGATTTGCACTTAAGTATGTACTGGGATATACATTTACGCCAACTGAAGAAAAAGTATTTCCCCAACCTCAGATATTTCCTTAATATACCCTCATATTCATTTTCCAGAACTATATTGGAGCTTGGTAGATCATTGTTTTTCCATAGTTTATCCACCAGGTAATATCACTGGAAACCTACATTAACATTGTAGATTTTTGATATGCTGGAATCTTTGTCTAATAAATCAGAAGTAAAGTAGTCGTATTTGAGAACTCTAAATTGAACATAGTTTAATATCATTAAGCTGTTAATAGTTTCTTTCCATTCTTCAAGATCGAGTAATTCTTCTTGCTTTCCAACTGAGGCAATTCTGTTTATAATAGTTAATATTTTTTCTTTGAATAAGTTGATTCTTTGGATCGTATCTTCTTCATAAGCATCTTCCCACGATTCATAAGTAGTTTTAGGGTCTTTGGAGTGTAAAAAGCCTGCTTCTAGTCCTGTAAATCCACTTCTCAGTATTCAGAGTCAGCACACAAAGGGATCTTCTTCAATAAGCTTATCAATCTCTAGTGAAGTCTTATAATGAAGCATCTGCTTTATCAAGTCATACTTTTTGGAGAATAAGGTTTGTAATTTTAATGCAAAGTTTTGTGGATCTTGCGACAAATTATCACTCTCTTGACTAGATAAATTGTCGCTTTTTGAATCACTTTGATTTCTCTGGGCCCTATGAACCAATCATGAGAGATTAAATAAAGAAGACCTTCACAGTTAATTGGGGAAACGAATATGAAAGGGTAGGTAGAATAAGCTCGATAGCATGATGCCTAGAAAATTTAGTTTTAAATGCAGTTGTATTTAGGGAACAAAGCTACTTTGATAGCAATAAGCTATTCAATAAAAGCAACTATTTCAAGTAAGGATGAAGCATTCAAAACAGAAGTGCTTGCGAGCAAATATATTTTCCCTAAAACTGAAAAAGTTTCATTCATTAGTAATAATAGTGGATGGCCTATTAAAGTGCTAATTTTTACCTTTTAAAGAATGCATAGTGTAATTCTAATATGTAGCATTGAGGTTTAAATACATAAGATTCCAAAATAAGACTTAAAATTACTATTAAAGCATTAATTTTAATCTATAAGGAGCTGTAACAATTGATTTAAGTTTTTCCAAATAGATAATTTCCATCTTAAAGTAATATATGTTCAATAGTTATCAAGAAAGTAAGGAAGATCAGAAGCCCAACTAATAGTTATTTACGAATATTCTATACTAAAAATAGACATGGATCAATCATCTAATCCCCGATTAGTATTATATTGTGAAATTTGTATTAATTCTAACCCATAACTATTCTACGCTACATAATCATTAAAACTAGACTATTATCCTATAAATAATATTTCAATTCCTAGAAGAATTATCAAGTCATATAAGCCAAAATAAGGTTGTCTCCATATGAATTAAAGCTGTTTATCAAAAATCGTTATCAAGCTAATTTTCTCTTAATATTCACAAATATCTCAGAGTGAGGTAATTTAGACCTCACCTTAAAACCTAGTAGCAGAAAGACTATTTAATTCATGATGGAACGAAATCTCAAGCCAAAGTTATAGTAGAACTTTCTGAATATTTGTTTGATAACATCCTTTCGTAACAAGTTATCAAGTGAAGGAGAAGGCATTAACTAATTGTGGTCTCGATCAAATATTCACACTAAAACAAAATATGAGTCATGCCTATTTGGTAAAGTCATATTTAGCTCATTAACACTATTTGTCTCTTGAAATGGTGAGACTTTCAGTTAAGCTATCACCTATTTTTATAGAGAAATACTTCCTTTAATTAGATCTTATGACACCTTTTAAGGTGCCGTATGTCAAGATAATTAATCAGTAGCGTTTTGTATAGAGCCATCTTATTCTAGTCAATGCTCGAAATGTTAATGAAATCGGTCCAGGGTCAATAACAAACTTAGACTTAGCATTCAAGTCAATAAACAACATTTTACCCTGTTCTATTATCTCTTTTTGAATCATTTGATTCCTTTTTAACAAAATTGTTTGTTCTTGGATCTGAATTCTGCCACTCATTTTTACCTGTGAGGAACATTAGACCAGATTCATATTAGAAATTTAAGAATCATATCTTACCTGGTATGATATCTGCATCATTAAGTTGACCTTCAGAGTGTTCGAAGTCTTTGCTACAGGACATGATTCGATCTATTTTTAAAGAGGTTAGATAAATCAAACTTCACACCAAGAGCTGCTATTCTCAGCATTAAAAATATTTAAATTGCTCGACAATTCTCCGCCAGTTGGATGGCAGTTAGGTTTATTTTGTAGGCGCAGTGGACATCAAAAATTGGTTTTTGCTCCTCTTTATCTCAAAGGTGAGGCACCAGGAGAAAACATAAAGAAGAAATAAAAGACCAGCATTGGAGCCTTTCAGGCTCTTCATAATTTTGTTCAAGACTATGAATATTTGTTATTAGGCTATGTCACTTCATCTAAAATGGTTGCCATTAACTGAACAACAAATAAATTGCTAGCTTGAACAAAATTATGAAAAGCCTGAAACTATCCAATACAGGTCTTTTATTTCTTCTTTGCTGTCTTTTCCCAATGGCTCACCTTAGAGATAGAGGGAAGTAAACACTCATTTTGGTGTCCACTGCACTCCAAAATAAGCCTAACTGGCACCCAACTGATGGAGCAATTATAATGTAATTTAAACATTTTTAATATTGAGAATTGTAATTCTTAGTAAGAGAATATTTAAAATTAACAAAATGGAGCTACTTTTGAATGAGAAAGCTTTCCTAAATAAAGCCATGAACAAAATTTATCAAAATGGATCTCTTTACTCCGAAAATACAGCGGTGAAATAATAATTCACACTTTCTGATCGCTCACAGATATCAAAATTATACCAAGAGGCAATGATTGGCTCCCATTTCAAAGGCCTTGTACAAATTTCAGGATACACAAAAAACAGAGACTTTAAAAATATCCAAACTAAAACTAATTTTTGAGATTTACGTCTAAACTAATGCTCTTGAAGGAGAGATAGAGGTCTCCAAGGTGTGATCCAAAGATGCCCTCCTGTACTATGGCTAGGCACTCTTCGATATGTATCTTCATGCTTTATGCTTTCTAATTTTCAAAATATCTTTACTCAAATTTTTTATTTGAAATTTTTATTTTTGAATTTAAAAAATCTAAAAATTTGCTAGTATCCTAAAACATTTTGATTCTCTAAAGAAGTTCTTTCATCATATATATCAAGCAAGGAAGGCACCCCCCCCTGGACTACTATTCTTCCTCTGAATAGCTATTTGTGTGGTTAGCTGGCTGGATTTTTGTTAGGACCAAAACCCAGCCCTCTTAAGGCCAACTCTCATATCTGAGGAGAACCGAAGATGAATCTTTGCTAACTAATTCGCAATTTTTATGAGCCATATGGGCACAGATCGATTAAGCAAAGCGTGAGGGCACATCAATGAGCCTTAGACACCAGGCTGGATATTCTTTCCTTACTTTGTTCTTCGATGGAGCTGGATTCTTCTCCCTTGCCGTATTTATTTTCTTCCTTTGGATCCATCTTAAAAATAAAATTAATTATAGAGCCGGTTTATCAATGGCTAGGACATGGTCTGGGGTTTTGGGGTTTTGGGGTTTTGGGG